ACCACCCATCCTAGAACCCAGTTTTAGCACCGCCCAGATTTGACCGCCAGATTATCACCTCCTTGAAATACTTTTTGGGAGGCAAAATATTTCACATTGGTGAAGATTTCAAAAAAACTTTCCCTATTTTCTACCACGAACAGTCAGCAGAGGTTTGTGAATTATGGTTTGAAAAACTTTATCCATGATTTGACAGGTGTTTAAAAGGATATTTGACTATGTAGAAAAGTATTGAACGAGTATATGGTACGGGTGTATACGGCTGTACAATAAAAACATCGTCCACAAATTTTTGTTATTTCCCTTTTTATCCAACAATGGTTATAACTTACAAGTCGGTTCTTGCACTTTGAAATTCACATTCGTGAGATACAACACATTGTCACCATGTCACATTCTACATAGGCCAAGCTTAATTCACTGGATTCTGCTGCACGCTGAAACTTAAAGACTTTGTATTGGTAACACTCTTGGCTTAAAATACCTACTTCTATGTACATTTAAAGTCAATGTTTTGATCTATAAATATGCAATTAGAAGAACCTTACGTTTCTGTTCTTGACTTCAGATTGGATTAATGAGGGAGCCTTGGATTGTTATCACAGGACGGGCTGCGTGCAAGGCAGGTAATGAGACTGGTTCTGTTGGACACACCGGAAAAGAGAAGACACCATGGTTCCAACTAATGGCCTTACTAGTGGTGCCAAAAATCACAAATCTCATATAAGTTAGAATTCTGATCTCTTGAATCGGGGATAGCTTTGTGGTTTTTCCCCACCCTCATCCCAGCTGCTAGCTATCGGCGCCAAAACACGTACAAGGTCCTCTCGCGGTCCCTATAGCTCCTCTAAGGACCTTTCCAGTGAAGAGTGAAGAGCCTCACACTTCCAGAATATCGCGTAGGTTCACCTCGGCACTGTTCCTTTGCATAGTAAATGCCCGCAGAATCCTTTGGCCCCATCACGATACCATTGTTCTCGGTGTTGGAATCAAGTTCCTCATTTATATAGTTTCCTGTCAGACCAAGAAATTATTCTCTTTCTCTTGCATACGCATATTACTCCTTAACGAGAGGTAAAATATATTAATGCCTCCATAAAACCGTGTTTATGTGTTTTTTTATTTGCCCCGGATTTCGTTGAAACTTACTCGAAAAATACACATATCATGAAAAATTATGTCTGGCATCGAAATCATAGGCTTCCGCGGCCAGAGTTATGTGCATGATCTTGGCCGCGTCGAAGGCTGTGTTGCCGTCGTTTCGACCATCTTGCCGTGGTCTTCCTCAGTCCCATATGCCAGACCTGGGAATATGGGAATACCTCCCATATTTCCATATTCCCGGGGCTGCCCTGAGGAAGACCACGACAAGATGATAGAAACGACGGCAACACAGCCTTCGGCGCAGCCGGAGAGCCAAGATCGTGCACATGTGTCTAACATCATTTAATGACTTAATTTTCAAGAATAGATTTCATCGAGAAAAAAAGAAATCTTTAAAAATGTTTCCCGACAGCGTCCGAAATATTATAAGACGTAATTTTCGAAAATTCAGATTTGTTCACTGGATCTACCCCGTTTTTACTTTTCCGTATACATACGTAGATAAGGAGTAATATACTTAGTATTGGGAAAGTTACGTAATGCTGTGCAAAAAACGGAGAATTTTCGGCACAAAAATTTCATTGCCAGGCCCTGATACCGAAAAAGAGGATAAATCCAGTTGCTAAGTTGTTAAGAAAAAAACCTCTAACACGTGATGAAGCCAGAATCCATCAACAAAAAAGTAAAAAAAGGTGGAGTATACCAGATCTATGATACTGTAATAAGGAAACTTGTTGCTGTACCATGGATCTGGTATACTCCAACGCTTCTTTTTTTCGGTGCTGTTTTGTGGGTCCTTGATACCGGAAAATCAATTGACGGCAAAACGTCCGTCTGTAAACACTACAAGCGCCTAAATAATGCTTAGGATTTTTTCCAAATTTTCCCGTCCATCTGGCTCAAGTCAAAGATTTGAGATTTTGAAAAACATTCTTTAAAATTTGGGTGTACTTTACATGAAGCTCCCCGGACATTTTCAAAATTTTCTCCAAATTTTTCCTTGTTACTTTTGGTGGGGATAGTGCTAACTGTACTCTAGGAGATGACATAAATATTGCTCTATTCTTTTTATTTTTACAAAAAATATAATAATGTATTTTTTCGTGTGTCTCATGTTGATATTTATATTAGCGGCGATTTGTTCAAATTATTGTACTTGCGAGTACATGTGCTTTAAATAATGTCATAAAGTTTCACCAAAAGTGAGCCATTTTCTGTGAAAACTAGCTCAAAATTTCGCATTTTCAGAAACACTCAAACGTCATTTTTCTAAAAAACGGCTCCAAATGTCTTCAAACTTTTCGAAGGGATAGTGCTAATTGTACTATTTAATATGATGTTAAGTTGATTTCGGGTATATTTTTTTGTTTTTGTTTCGGTGTTTTCTAAAACTATACAAATGTAATTTTTTGGAAGATCTTTCACGCCGCTAATATACATATTTCCACCAATTTGTAAGCACTATTGTATTTGTGAGTTAATGTGCGTTTAATGACTTTTGATCAAATTTTTCGAAAACTCAAAAATTGTCTGTGAAAAAGAGCTTCAAATATCGAATTTATAGTAGCGCTTAAACTCCGTTTTCATAAAAAGGGTCAAAATTTTTCAAATAAAATTGACGTTTAGGACTAGGTTTTACTGTTCTTTAACATTCTAAAAATAATATTTCGAGTATATTGTTAGAAAATCGAAAAATTGAGAAATTTTAAAAAAAATGTACTTTGGGCGGCGATAGATGGCAGCTGGCAAAGTATGTGGCAAGTCCGAATAGCTTTCCGAGACCAAAGGAAATAAGTAAATAAAATATTCGTTTCATGTAATTCTAGTTGCAATTGTGCATTACAAACTCATGTTGCAGTTCACCTTTGTGATCATGCTTGCACAACTCAATCTCAAATTGAATTTTCTTCAGTAACTTAAAAGATGTTAGGTATTGTTTCTTTTAAACAACTCAATTTTTGTAAATATAAATTCATTAAATTGGTTAGGCCATAATCTCCTCTACTAAAGGGTGCTATGGTTGGGCAGAGGAACAGAACTTGTGGTATGAGGCTCGCTACAAATGAAGACAATTTTATTATTATTTTATTTTTCACCAACTTGTCACAATTATGCCACGTAATTATCATCAAAATCATCATATGGAATATTATCACCCTTAAGATCGAAATCCCCGACAATATAGTAGAAAGTTCAAAGAAGTCTGTCGCATAAAGATCTCATTTCTTAGCGATGCAAAAACCTGTTTTTTTAGGACCTAAGACTTATTGTTTTCGAGAAATGTGCAATTATAATGTGTTTCAGTAATATGTTTTGTATGTCATAATTCATTATTATTATTATTATTATTATTATTATTATTATTATTATTATTATTATTATTATTATT